ATGGCCGCTTCATCTCTCCAGCAGCTAAAGAAGCGGAAGTTGTACTTCTCGGTGCGAGCATCTAGATTCAAATGGTAAAAAATGTGATGCTTGGGGCGGAGTTGCCACAAAAGCCTGTATATGTGAAGCATTCAGAAAGAAATAGCTTTCGCCATTATTATATTTTTAGAACCAGAAACCACAACCCTACACTAACAAAAACTGCTGGGATGAATCCGAAAACTCGCCGCTAGATGCCGCAGTTGAGGCGAGTATGCTGTACCAACGGAGGTAGGCCAGAGCTGCATCGAATATTCCGTCGGCTTCCTGACTTAAACCCTATATCATAAAGTGAAACCAGACCTGTATTGAAAACACAGCAGCAACACCCAAGCCATAAACATTATACTCGGTTTAGAACCATATGCTTACGACCGAAATTAAGGAGCAAGTAACGGCGATCGTCAGATAACGGCCAGCGTTCTCGACGAGACAGTACCACCGATGCAGGAAATAAGTGCATTTAGCAGTTGCGACCATTCGTTGCGAAGGCTGTCTAGCCAAAGCTTTGCCACACTCCGAAGCCAGCCAACTAGTGATGATTCTGCTGTTGTATGCCTCATGATCATAGCAGTAAACCACCTCCAGCTACCATTAAACCCGCAACCCTATAATTAATTTTATAAACCCTAGCCTTATACCCTAAATACTAATCCCACAATCAAATTATAAAATGGTATGAACTATTTCGATTTCGGATCCTTGGAAGCAAAAAGGCCGTAGTCCTCCCCAGAAAGAATCAGCATCCATGGTCTGAACAGGGGTTGTGAGCACTGCAACTTATGATCTGCCAGGAATTCCTTGAAGGATCTATAGGCCTCACGGAACATAGCTGTAGTCCCCTCACCAGAAAAGTGCTTCATGTCCACTAGTTGTTTCAAAGCCGAGCCATTCGTGAACTGGCCAATCCCAAGGCTAACCGCGTGCATTGTGTCGAATTTCACCAATCGCTGGTGAAATCCGGCCACGTACACTAAGCGATTCATCGGCTCGCCCAACATTGTGAGAACGAATTCTCGCTGAGATCGCTCCGTTTGAATCCAACCAGCGTTTGGGCGGAAATCGGAATACGGATATCGCACATCCTTCTTCGAAGCCATGCATCTGTGGCAGACGTTCGCCGCCCCGAAGTGACCCTTAAGTCTAAATATCTGTACTTGCCATTTCCAGTCGCCACGGAACTCGATCAGGCGAAACTTCGTACCATCTTCGGAGAGAAACTGGCCAGGTGCACAACGAGGATCGGAGCTTCTAATCACTTCTCCAGAAAGAGATTTGCTCGGCCAGCGACCATCGAAAAGGCAGTTGCAGCTCCATGCCAAATAGTCCCAGATGGGGCACAAAGTTTCTGGCCCAATGATCCTTTCGGTGCGGAGCATACAGACTGGGAATCTAGTATCCAGCACCTTCTTCGATTCTTGTAGCGGAAAGCTCATGAAAATCACCAGCAGCTTCTCTTTGGTGACCGTGTATTCAGCTTCGTCTCCATACAACCCATACGGGTAGTAGTCAGTAGCAGCAAAAGCCGGGTCCTCCATCCAAGGAGCTCGCTGCTCCCTGAAGTGTCTGGAGAACTGCTGCGAAGCCTCTCGGTCCAGTTTCAGGCGACCCGTACGAAGCAGCCAGGATGCTAGGCGATGTGGCGGGAACACTGGCAATGCGAAGGGCACCATGTCAGGGCAGTTAGGTTCTGCCCGTGCTTTCACATAAATTGTGATGCTATCCATCTCAGGAACCTCGGATCTGCTTAACTAAATTTGCGAACAAACAAAGCTTGCACCATCATTGCGTAGTTTATCCCCATGCATGGCAATGCGATGCCAGTGCAGCTATGCTAGATAGGACAAGACTCTCCCTCGGACGTGCATCTAGCACGTACATCTCTCCAGACATTGCCAGCTCGTGAACCTCGAGCCCCACATGAGGCCAGATCCTCAACCCCCGCTGGGGTGGCACTGCCCAGCTCCTTAGATAAAGCCCAAACCTTTAAAGGATGTTAAACCCAACTAAAGAAGTCGAGGCTCGATGCTGATGCAATCTGCCAACTCCTGGGCGGCATTGCTGCTCCACTCCTCGCGATCGTTTCGGGATGTGGCTGAAATTGCTGGGTTTTTTGGGGTCTGGGTTGGGTGTTATGATTGATACATATAACATATGTCATCATCTAATTATAAAGCTAAACCTACTTATAATAGTAGTGAACTATCTAATCAGGTAGTTATAATTAGACAATGTTGGGGTTGAGTTCGGGCGGTGTTATTGCTCCATATGTATGGGCCCACAGTTGATCTGTGTATACTAGGCATGATCCAGTATTCATTCATCCCACGATCGGTGTTGTGGGGATCGTCTGAAACCTATACCCCGAAGCTTAAGCAATGTGCAGCAAAGTGTCACCAGAGCCCACTCCAGCCAGTAGCCGGGCTCGAATCGTTCCAGAGACACCTGCGTGGGAGCGGGTATTTGGGGTTGGCTTATTATATGTAGTAAGGTTGGGCACCGGTTACGAATCGAGATTTTTGCTGCAGGTTTGAGGGCGTTGCGACCGGGATCTCGATTGTCGGGTTTATTGGATAATGTACTTCGCATAGGAATTGAAATCGGGAGGTTGGGTGAAGGGCTTAAGCTTGGCGAAGTGTCAGTATTTAATTGGGACGATAGTTGAAAAGTTCGGGCTGCTGCTTCGGAGTATTACGAGCAAGGGTTGGACTTGGAGAAGTCGTTTGTAACTTCGCTGGGTTCCCACAACCATATAATTATAATTACATCCATAATATAATAAAAGCCCTTGACCCAGGGGAGAGAGAGAGAGAGAGAGAGAGAGAGAGAGAGAGAGAGAGAGAGAGAGAGAGAGAGAGAGAGAGAGAGAGAGAGAGAGAGAGAGAGAGAGAGAGAAATGGAGATGGAGACAAGAAGTGAGACGGGGCTAGATAAGCATCATCATTATTTTGGCTGAGCCTAGCTTCTATACATAACTTCCGATCGCCCAAGATCACGAAGCATGTGTGCTGCGTAAGACAGCCACGTTTGTCTCGTTTCGATGCCGGCATGTTGTGAGCTCCCTCAGCACAATCGATCTGACTCGTTTTGAAGTGCACACTAAGAGCTGTGTCTAGGCCCAGCCTGCTGCGAGGCTAAAATCACAGGGTTGATCTACCGAGCATCGAAACCATTAGCTTACGGTCGGTGTTTATGACACTCAGCAGGCTAGACAAACAGCCCAAGCATGGTCCGAGATTGTTCTGCTCACGAAACCTGCCGTAATCAAACATAAGCAAAATCAGCACCGTAGCGGTGCATCTCAACATATGATGGCAGCCCAGGCTACACGGCTACACCGGCGGTGCCGCTGCCGCTGCCTTGCCCTTCGCCTTTGGCTTCGCTTTCGAGGGCAAGGTCTTTTTGGTGGCCTTGTACTTATCATCATAGATCTTGCAAGCATCCGTCATAGCTGTACAGAGCGGCAGAAGCTGCGCCTCTGGTGCATCCTTTACATAAGCATCCTGCAATGCCTTCAAAGCAGACTTCATGTTGAGGATCGCCGGGGTCATGTCTTTGATCAGCGCTTCGGCGAAAGCTGCACCCCTGCAGGCAAAAGACCACAGCAGACTTAAAGGGAAAGTTGTAAAACTTTAAGTTAAATAGGCTCATACATATATAGCTAGTACTGACGACATAACTCTATATTCCAATCGAAGGCACACTCCGTTCTTCTGGAGCATCACCTGGAGCCCATCTGCTTCAGCGACTCGGACCACCACTTTCTTCAGGAGGTCAGTCGCTTGCTGCATCCCAGATTTTGGCTTAGGTGCCGGTTTGGGATTCTGCTTGGGATTGGGGGTATTGTCACCTCGACCACCAGGGCGGTTTCCTGGAGGCAGGCGAAGTCCCGGTGGAAGTGCATTGCCTGGTGCAGGTTTTCCAGCATCTGCAGAGGAAGTAGTCGCCGAATCATCTGCCACGAGGGATGGGCCCTTCATACATTCAGACCTGGAACACAACATCATCGTGACTAGGGCTAGATAGGGCGGGGCCTACTATAGGGCCTATATTGGATACCAGTTTGGTTTGACAGAAAAAAACTAGGTTGGAGCAAGTCGCAGCATGTGAGATGTACCCGTCTCGTCCAACTGCATTTCGAAATTGAAGTTGTAATCGAACTCTTCTTCGTCCTCATTCAACTCCTCCTTGGAGTCGAAAACTCGGAACAGCTCCCACTCCTTCCAGGGATTGCTTTTCAAGACATCGAGGGGAGTGATTAAAGCGTGTTCCGATATTGAAATGAAGGGTCCTTCTTCGACTTCATATCTGGATGGGGCATGAACCACTTCCCGGTCCCCTGCGGGTCGTTCTTCTTCTTCTCGAGGGCGATGCTGTCGGCGATGTCGTTGCCGTGCCTGGGCGAGTATTTGTGATCATGAACAGGGGTTATATATGATGAGGACCAGCTATTCTGCTATAATACAGCTGAAGCACTCCTGGGCCAATGTTTCCCACTTCTTCCATACGTACTTACCGGTCTTTTTGCCCTTGGTGCGGTTTCGGATGTTGACCATCACCGAAGACCGCATCCAGTTTTCGCCGGCCGACACATACATCTCGTAGAAGTGGCGCATTATCTTGGTTCCTCCTGCAGCGGTGATTTAGGCTTTAGGATGGCGGGCGTGGGAGTTGTTCAGGGTGTTCTTGATCACGGGTTTGCTGATAGGATGAATTAATGTGTTTGGGCTCTAACTAATAATAAGAGGTTCAGGGTTTAAATGATTCTGCTATAACCAATGAATTACACAACGATGTAAAACTGTCGCAGAATTACCTGTTCAGATATTGTGGGTGCGACTCGACATGAACTGCTATTGCCCAACCTAGCTGTCTACCAGCCCTGGACCCTGGATACATGCCCTAGCTCTTCCGACCTCGGACCCTGCAGATATTGTTATTTACGTAGCATGATCCGAAACTCAGGCTGCCATGCCGCTGGACTTTCCATTCGGGTGGAAGACCTTGGAGTAGATCTCCGGCGGGCAGGTGTTGCTGCCTTGTCTGGAAATACAGTTATAGGTTTAATGAATAGATTTGGAAAAGGGTTTGGGGAGTTTGCAAGTTCGCGATATTGCGGCGTCAATTGAAGTCGAGTTGCGAAGGGAGGTCTTATACCTGCAATAGCTGTTGTGTGCCAAGCGTTTGGCTTCTTTCGCTGTAGCCTCTTCACCATCAGCGGTCTCCTCGGGCTTCAACGGTTCCCCGTCCAAACCCTCCGTCTCCTCCTTCTTTACCTCGATCTTGCCCCCTGCCTTCGCCTCGCTGGCGGCAGCATGGGGCTCGGGTGCACGGGGCACGGGTGCAGGGGGCACAGGTGCAGGGGGCGGGCTTGGCGTCGCCACCGGTGTCTTCCCGGTGACCTTGGGAGCGGGCTCTTCTTCGACTTTCTCAAGCTCAGCAGTCATATTCTCGATATCATCCAAAGAGTCCTGTCTTTTAAGCATGGCCTGGATCTTCGCAGATCGCACAGTATCAAGGCTTCGATGCTTCAACATAGCAAGGCAAAGCTTGTTGACGGCCTCCTGCATCTGCACGGCTGCTTCTGCTCGATGCTGTGCGATAGTAGCTTCCTCCAGTACCATAAGCCTTTCGAGATCATGCTCCAACTTGCCGTCAGCGATCGGCTCTGAAGCGGACTCTGCGGGAAGTGGCTCTGATGCTCGAGGGATCTCTGAACTGGCTTGCGTGGGAAGTGGCTCTGGGATCTCTGAACTGGCCTCTGTGGGAAGTGGCTGCGATGCTCCGGGGATCTCTGAACTGGCCTCTGTGGGAAGTGGCTGCGATGCGGGGATCTCTGAACTGGCCTCTGCGGGAAGTGGCTGTGATGCTCCGGGGATCTCTGAAGTGGCCTCTGTGGGAAGTGGCTGTGATGCTCCGGGGATTTCTGGCTTTGAGGCTTCGGGGACTCCTGAAACGGTCGAGGGGAGTAGCTGTGATGCTTTGCTCGCGGGGGATGCTTCGAGTGACACAGCAGCATCAACCGAGGTTTCTGGGGCCGCCCTTGCTGCAACCATATCTGTCAGGGCCTTCATCAGACACTGGGCAGTGCAATAGATCTTGCATCCCTCAGGGTCAGCATTAGATATCGGCTATACATCTAGTGAAGACCTAATTACGAAACCGGGTTAAGTTTAAAGAGATAGCATTTTATCTTACAACAAACCCTTTAAGATAAGCCTGCTTCACAGTCTCATCCTCGTTCGTGCAGATCTTGCCGCACACGGAGCATGTCTCCTGAACAGGCAGTTATTTGGAAGGATTTGCGGGTATAGCTAGATGTATGTAATTAAAGAAGCTATAGAGCAGCCTAAAATTGTAATTTCCAGTGGCTTCGTCCGTCCTCCAAGATCCCGCTCAGATCCTGTGAACCTTGTACAGGGAATGTAGGTGTATAGGTTTGAAGGTTTATATAGCGTAGGTTTATTTAGGTTTTAATTTTTATATTACTATATATTAGCGTAGGTTTATTTAGGTTATTACTATACTTATACACATAGCGGGCATAGCTATATATAGTGCGGTTATTTTATATACAATCGAAGAAAACATGAATGCTTTATTTGAACCCTGCATATGGGCCTTCATGAAGTCTCATCGACTGAAAGTAGCCACCCAAGCTCAGGGTTGTAGCAGAATCAGAGTGATGCGGTCTGCGATCTGAAGCACTGCTGCCCGAGAAGCTAGGAAGGGATGGGACCGAGCTGGCCAAGCTTTCGGTTGAACCGATCGAACCTTTCAACTTCTTCGAGACTGGAGACTTCATAGGTGTGCTCGCGATGCTCATGGGGCTTGGCTTCGGGTTGTCTGCTCGCTCCACAACTGCAGCATCTGCCATGCCCATCTCCACATCCGTAGTCGTGCGGCTCAACTTCGGAGTCTGGGGTGGCTCTTCAACCACAGCAGGGGTTGCTGGAGCGGATCGTGCAGGGGTTGCAACTGGCTTGCTTTTCGCAGCCAGGGTTTTCGCAGGCTCAGCTTTCGGAATCTCGGGTTTGGCAGGCTCGCTCTTCTTATGCAAGTGCACTGCTCGATCGATCATAGCCTGCACTTTCGCTGAAACCTCCACCGGACCTCCTTTGGCCTTGCCCGAAGCGGAGCCCCCCCGCTTTCCCATGATGCAGCTGCTACCCCGCTAAGCTAAGCGACGGGCCAAAGCAAAATTCAAATCCTCATTTTGAGCACGGGCCAGCAACCTAAAGTTTCGTGCACAGGATGGATGGCGAAAAGGCAACACGTCTTGCAGAGCAGTGGATTTACTTACACGGGGTACATTATGAAGCGGGATATGATCGATGCTGTACGGGGTCTAGACGATGAGGGATAAGATTAACTAATACTTTAGGGCTGCGACCGGGGTTTCACTATGAACCGCATTGCTCTACGGAAACTGCACTCTAAAGATTCCTAGGAGAGACCTATGCCTAAAACCGATTTAATGCAAAATAATGCGTTTTAACGCTTTTTAATGCAAGACCTCTCTCACATATGTAGGTCTTTGTGTAATAATTTAACGCAATTTAACGCGATTTAACGTGGGCCCTCTCTATAACTCTTTACCTACAGGTAGCTATAACTATAGAAGGTGGATCTCGCAGAACCATAATCCATAGTTTTCCTGAAAATAATTAGGTATTTAAACCAAACCTCAACTCTTGATCTATAGCTAGCAGTCCAAATACGGATGCTCCCCCTGCAACTCTACATACATCGCCTATCTAGCTGTACATCATGACAACCATGGCCTATATAAATTGGGCTTGGATCTATATATTCATGATATAGCTAGCTTCGCGACTCTATGAAATGTATGAACCCTATAATTAAGATTTCGGTTTCTAGCTATAGAGCAACGACTACAGATTAACAACTACATATCGTGAGGGATTGGAGTTACAAGCTAAATATTGTAAGTAATATATATTTGTTATACATATATATATATAATATAACTTTCAATATTTAGCTTGTAACTCCAATCCCTCACGATATATACATAATGGGGTTTCTGGAAGTCTGATCATGATCCCCACGATGATAGCTCGCTTGCAAAGATGCCTGTTGCTTTCGACTGGGTAACTACTTTTGGCACTGGGTTTTAAGAGGATGCTCAGATTCATGACTTCGGGTTTTAATTTCGGGGCTGAAGATCCGAATAAACCTGGGGTCCGGTAATATAGTTATTGAATTATTTAGCACTATACTATCTCGACCAGAGCGGCAGTGCCCAAGTGCCACGTTTTCTTCGGTCAGCAGCAAGATGCCCAACATCGGCGCCTCGGCATATATATAATATATATATATATATATGCAATATATAATTAATACCGATATATAGTAATATATATATATGTACATATATGATTTCTATGGCGGAGTCAGTCGAACAGCAGGAGCAGTCACAGCAGCAGCAGCAGCAATAGTAGCATGGATAGCAGTACCCGGCCCTAGCTGCATAGCAGCATGGCAATCCAAGGACGATAGCCAGAAATATAATCAAACTGCACCGGCGGGGGGATTCACTTCTGCGTGTATTTGCAAGTCCATGACCCTGGCTAGGGTGATCCAGGATTAGTTGTATACCTACTGCTTATGCCGGGTATCAGGAGAACTACAGGCTTTTCTATAACAAGCCGGCCATATATCCGTAAACCCTATAATTGTAATTATAGGGTTTATTATAATAAACCCCAATCTATAAACATCATGATCATCTGCGGGTTCTTTCGGCCTTTAAAAACCTCCCGCAATATACGATATTTGACCCACCGTGCCATAAGGTTTCCGATATTTAGTAGCAATATAACAATGATCACTGAAACCATGAACCCCCAAACCCTACACCCTAATCCCCCAAACTTCTAAACCCGCGAAAGAGTACCCTACCAGCAGAAAATCCTGGATTCCACCCTGATTTAAGCTGTGATCGGGTGTCGTGAACCCAAACTTGAGGTTTTATGGGGATTAGGGTTTATTATTATAACCATATGGGATATACAATTTGCATTGGGAGTATAAGGTCGTGATATAGTGGAATATGCCCCATCATGATCACAGCAGGTGAAGGAAAGGTTGAACTACCCCTTTAATTTACCCCATGGCCAGACCCTATAAAGTTGTCACATCTTCGGGGTCCAGAGCTTCGAGACTTGAGTCAGAGGGTGATCAGGACTGAAGTTTTAAGGATTGGGGATAAGCTTATTATAATTTTACTTGTTAGCTAGGCTGAGATGATGCAAGCTCAGAACTCATGAAGCCAAATTCGCCCGTAACCAAACTCCCCAGTCCAATGCAACTAAATTTACTCATCCTATCCAGATGGCATTGTCGAAATTATTATAATAATTCCGACAATGCCATCTGGATAGGATGAGTAAATAGCTAGTCTAACCCGCGGCCGAACCTTTACAATGGCGATCAAGTGTAGCACACCATATGGCCCGAAAGCAAACCGAATGCATGAGAACGACTGTGCTAAGTCAGCTACGACTGATCATGATCATATGCACATTGAAATACAATACGGCTAAGTTTACTGTACAGGCCTTGCGATGCTATTGTCTAGATCAGTCTAGATATAAAGCTTGCAACAGCCCGCAATTCCCAGGCATCATACACAGAGGCTCAGGCACACAGGCCGGCGTAGATGACCCTGCAGGCCGAATCAATTGCAAGAAGCGGAGTTTAGGGTTTTATCAGTTTATTGTAGGGTGGTGGTACTTATTAAGAAGAATTCAGGGTTTAACTATAGATTTTATTTCAGGGTTTCGGTATAGAAGCGGAATATAAATTAAGATGTTATTATTATACTAGCTATAATGGTTGTATATAGCTATGGCTATGATCTGCGGAAAAAGTAAAGCTCCATCTATCCCGGGAAAAATCATACGGAAGGTGTCCTGATTTATGTGCAACCTACCGATCGAACAGGACCCTGCACTATCCTAAACCCAGAACCCCATAATCAACTCAGGATTATTCTATGAAGTGGCCACGTGGCCTCATGCGAGGAGGAGCTCTCTACGACGGCCGCTATGCGAGCCTCAGAATCCACCTAGCTAATTATACTGGGATGTCTAGGATCATCACCCCTTCAATTCCAGGGCTATGCTTAAATTCCATAAATGCATAAGCCCTCGATCGCAAATCTGAGTGGAACCCAAAGCGGTGAAAAAACAAACACCCGGAGAGATCTATTTATGATTAAGGTCTACGTAGTTAGGGTTTAGGGTTTAGGGTACCTCTAGCAATTTATCGGTGCTCGGCGAAGTCAGCCTCGTCGTCTCTGATCGTCAATGATTTCCAGCCCGGAGGCGATGTGCAAGGCTCCTTCGATCCACGGTGGGATCCGGATGCCGTCCCAGCAATTTGGGGACTCCGGGTCCGGAGCGGCTGTGACCTGTATTTGGTTTGTCGGTAACAGGTAATCACGGCGGGCATGCACTGTGCCCAAGGGGCTGCGTGTTCCACATATCCCAACATGCTGGGTCGTCACTTTGCAACCATCATGTGGTGCAGCAACGGTTGGAATCGACAGCAGTCGAGAAGTGTCTGCGTTGAACTTCCGCACCGCGAATCATTCCGATACACCACCGTCAAAAACTGCAGCCAGTCGACTGGTTCTCCCAACTACCATTTTACGGCTTCGAGTTTCGCACCTATCGTAATTAGCTTGAGCTACGATTCGGGCCCGGATGTATTTCCTCTTATATAAGAATCTGCCACATGATGGTTGCAACGGTATGCGTATACAGGTTGCGGGAAAACCTAGCGGGAAGGGTTCGGGCAAAGGCTGGGTGGGTTTCCGCTTATTGTATACTTGGCTAGTGACCCAGGCTTCGGATGGGTTTCATTACATTATGGCGAGATGTGTGTACATGTGTACGACTTGCAACTGGATTAGCGGGTATATTTCTCGGGATGGTTTGCTCAACTTTCTGTAGAGGGCACAGACTTCGGAACAGAGGGTTCGGCTATTCTTGCAAACGACAGGGGAACCTTTAGCTGGGTTTATTATAATAGGGATGGGTTAAGGGATTTAGGGTTTTAGGGTTAAGGGTTTTAGGGTTTATAAGGGTTGAAATACAGGCAAAGATCATCTGTGCAAGCAACCGAAGTCCTAATTCCTTATAAACCCGGTCCATTTGCAATCGTAGGTATTTACCTGAAGTCATGAACCCAACCCCCAGAAGCCCAGACTTAAAGTTCAATCGGCTACGAATTCCGAAACTCGACTCCTCCCAAAAGCAACCAAAGCAAAACAATAGAATCCTAAAAAATAAACCCTCGACCCAAGCTTCAAAAAGCAAACTACCGAGATCACTTATAAATCGCCCTTTATTTAACCCGGTCCTGTCAAACCTATTGCAAATAAGTATCTCGATGATGTCGTACATTCCCGATGCTACCAAATCCTAAAATCGAAGCCCCTATCTCCACGATACCTGATAAGAAACCTTATAAGTGTATCCGAACGACTACAATCAATAATGGACCGATCCAAGGTTGCTGCCGCTGGGCTTCGTGGCCATGGGCACATCAACAGCCTCAGGCGACATGTGCGTGGGTATGCACCTATTTATATATCGGCTTCCAGCACTGCAACGAAATCAAAAATTTAGCTAGGGAGCGATATGGTGCTGCTTTTCCACCCTTGTCTTCCTGCTGACTGCCTCGGCCGCTGTGGTCTCAATTTGAGATTACAGGTCGTCAGAGTACTGATCAGTCGTATAATACTGCTTGCTGACAAGGTGCTCTTCAAGATTTGGACCATATCATCGGTCATATCGTAGCGAATCCCCGGGGGTCAAATTTAGAAATCTAGATATTCGGCTCACATGAAGGCGCTTTCGGAAACATGCTTCATGCAACCAGCTGGGGAGCCTGCTGGATCTTGCAAATTGTTGATGACCTGTTACATATTAAGTGGGCTCAACCTATAGCTAGATAGGCATTATTAATTGGCGAGACCAGGCTATAGCTCCCCGGTTCAAAATCAGAATGGCCCGCTGTTCAAAGACCATTGCTTCAACAGTACCCCGT